GTTTTTTATTTTATATTTAATTTTGCTTTACCATTTTCTGGTTCGACTGTGCAGCACTTTATTCAACCTCAGTTTTTTAAATGTGCTATATAAAGTCAGGAWGGATGTTTATGTTTAGAAAGTAAAGTACGTGCTTCTGTCCATTTGGGATAAACTTAACTTGACTATTTTTTTTCTGTAAAGTCCCTCATCTTTTACGTTAAGGTTTATAAAGCTTGTTCATATTGGCCCTTAGATTCAGAAAAATGTTTGACCGAAAAAAGTCAGATTRAGTTTTAACATGATTCAGCCCCACAGGCTCTCACAGCTAGAATATTTAGTCTGATTTGCATCATTTGATTTTCAAAGTGTTCTCAACTACAGCCAGTGAAGAGAAAAACTGATTTAGCTTTAACAAGAAATTCAAGAGAATAACTAAGTTGCTCTATTTAATGGTCAATATCTAACAGCTGACTGTAAAAAGTCATAATAGCCTGAAAGTTTCATACTTTAATAAAATATTGTTTTTTGTTTTATTTTACCCCTCGTTTTTTGATGGATTTCCTCAAAAGGCTGACCACTTCCTTCCCCTCGACGCCAGTTGCCCTGAAGCCTTTGGTCCAATATATCAGAACACTCTAAAAGAAAGAAAAGAAAAGAAAAAAAACAGATTAAAGATTTGAACACTTGTTTTATTTCAGTTTCACATCTTCAACTTGTACAATAAAATGCCTCAAGCTAAAAAAGCAAAGTAATTCAAATGGATAGAAGCAAAGAGYGTGTCAGCTTGCATAAAAAAACCCGCTTATACAAACAGAAACATACGGTACTTTGCTCTATTAATGTGTCATACAGCAGACTGCATGTAATGTTTTTCTTTCAGCTTCTTCCTTCTGCARGAGTCAATGACAGTGGGTCAAAATGTAGAAGATTTCTCCTTTATTTGCTTCTCTTAGGGGGAGTTTATAGATGAGGACAGTAGACAGCARTTTTGTTTCTATTCATTTTGTTTTCTCGTGTTTGCCTCCGCTTTGGAAAAAATGAAATCGAGTTCTTCTTCGCCTAATCAATTGCACCTTGTTTCCTTCGAATGTGCAACACAGTCAAGTTCTGACTTGAAGTCAATAATGAGCAACACGGTATGTTCGATTTCTGTCTCAGTATGTGGCAGCCACAGACTGTCAGGTGCACAAAGTGCCGCAGTGCTGAAATGAACTCATTTTGCAGCCTTTTAGCACRATCTTTCTGCACTCCACACAACTACCCACTTTTTGAATACTTTTAAATGATATTTCTGTATATGCATAAGGGAATTTCCTTCATCATAGCAGCTTGTTTTCCCAAAACTCTTTAAAGAATATGGAGTACATGCACATAAATTCAAGCCTAAGGAAAAAACACAAAATAACCAAACAGAAACTAATGATAAAGTTAGAAGTTAAATATGGACTGCAGCACTAAGGGGCTCATTAAAAATATTATATGCAGTCTAAACACAACTAGTTCTATTCATTTTTCTAAACTTTGAGTTGAGGTGGATTACTGTGTCCTACTGTAAGGTTTCTGAGGACTAAACTTTGCAATAATAGAAACACTTCAKTTTCTTACCAAACTTAGAACATGTCTCTACCAACAATAATGTTAAGTTGTGTTTCTTTTCTTTTTTTATCGGAACAAGAGTTGAAACAGAGGTGAATGTTTTATTTTGCTTGTCTGGTAGTTAAAAACATGTTCAAGGCAGAATTCTAGAAATGTTTTCAGATAATAATTGTAAAGAATTGGAGAAGGTGAAAGACAATCATATTTTAGGTTTTAATCAAGACCACCTTTAATAAAATAGCATGAGATGCAATGTTATTGTGGAAAATGTCTCCAATGAGCTTTCTTWTATTTATTATGGTAAAACTGCATTTTTTTCTTTGATCAAAATGTCTTTGCTTAGCTGTTGGGGGGCTGCAACAATTTCAGTTAATTCATGATAAACAGTTTATTTCTCATTGTGGTCCCACAATGTTGTGTTAGTATGAATCAGAGTTCCAGCAGAAAACATTCAGACACAATAATAAGAGCAGCACTTCCAAAACAAAAGCTGTTTGAGACATGACAGATGTTGAACTATGTTGGGTAGTTCAGTTGTCCAACAAATCATCTTCAAAGAAAGAAATACAAAATAGAGATGTCTCCATCAAACTGTTACACAGACAAAAACTGTGGAGAAGAAAAACTGTGGAAAAGAAAAAACAAGTCCAAGAAATAAGCCAACGCACTGATTCATCTGTCATACATGGATGTGTGTGTGTGTGTGTGTGTGTGTGTGTGTGTGTGTGTGTGTGTGTGCGCGTGCGTGCGCACGCGCGCACTCACAGAGTGAGGACCATCACGTTTTTAACCAACGAAGTGAGGACACTTTATAGGGGCTATATTATGTAAAATCAACTTTTTTGAGTTTTATGTCATGTTGTAATGTTATCCACTCATCAGAAACATGCCCAGAGTCTTACTTTGACTCATTCATGCATGTTTGAGAAATCCTGTAGTGTCCTGAGGCAGCCAGGCAGGGGAGCATAACCCACCAGTTGGGACTAAGCCGAGCTTCCGCATCACAGCGCAACCCCATTTTCCAAAACAGATATTGTATAATGTTGCTTCTTTTTTATTATTATTACAACAAAGTCTGCTACCACGCAGCAGAGCCCTGTAGAGAGAAGCRGCTGTGATGACCTGCTGAAATGGGCGGGACAGAAGTGGAATTATGTTTTTAAAGAGACAGAGGCAAATTTCAAGGTGTTTAGAAACTGATATGATGAGAAGTCAAGTTTATTTTGGATTTAAACATAAAAACAGCATTTTAATAATCACCGAAGGTGACATAGATACTTCATTATGGTATAGAATTTAAATATATGCCTGAGAAACACATAATATTCGCCCTTTAAGGAAGTCAGGTCATTTTCCCACTCCTCACTTTTTTGCAGCACTACTGCACTCTTCTAGGTAGGTTTAGAAGTATGGTGTGAATTAAGTTTTGGTTAAGGTTAGGAAAATGTATGGGTTATGCATAAATGCAATTACAAAAATTAATGGAAGTCAATACAAAGTCCTCCATTTGATGGAAGTACAAGGATGTGTGTGTGGTTTGGTTGAATGTCTGTCAAAGGAACATTCACACTGGTGTTTACAGGTTTAAGTAGAAGCTGCACTTAATGGAGGAGCATCTACTGTATGTTCACATTTTCAATAGGAGTGCACAGATTTCCTTAATTTTGGGAGATTGGACGACACTTGGATAAGATCAGTGGAAAAGATCAGCTTCTCATCTACCTCCACAAAGGTCAGAAAATCAGCCATGGTCCCCTTTTGTTCGGCTGTGAGAACTACCTGATGTCCAGTTAAAAAGGTTGAATTGTTTCACATGTATTGTTCAATGTTTTTCAATGAAATAAGATTGGAATATTGAAGGTGTATTGTGACCTTATAACACCTGAGGAAAAAATCTGTATTGGACAAAATTGGAATCGGTTGGTCAGACTTAATGGTGAAAAACTACAATCGGGAATGAATGAATGAATGAATGAATGAATGAATGAATGAATGAATGAATGAATGAATGAATGAATGAATGAATGAATGAAATACTAATTTAAAAGGACAACTAGAAAATCTACTCTAGTTTTAGGGTTTTACCCATCAGGACATCTGGTCTTTACCAGGTTCGAATATTATTCAAATCCTCAAGTACAAAAACACACACTGACTCTACCAAGTCTACCAAGCTCTAAAAATTACATTATCTAAACTTTTTATAATAATTTTCTACCRTGATATATACCGTTTCTGTGAAGGGGTTCAATTTATACCGTGATATGAATTTGAGATCATACTGCCCAGACCTAGGTCTTGACTTTAGACCTATTGCAACAAGCTTGATTTTTCAAGTTTTCCACCATTCTGTTGGAGATTTGCTTCTGCATTTGGAATGATTGTCCTCTACCAGGACCCAGTTTGGTCGAAACTTCCCTCCGTCAGACAGACGTCCTCACATTTTGACTCTGGGTTACTCTTGATTTTACATTGTGTATTAGACCAATGACTTTAAAACCCTCATGCACTCATGAACTTTTAAAGCACCAAATCTGACCCAAAGTTTGCTCTGTAACCTTCTAAACTTAAGTTTAAGCTGACAATTAAATCTTGTATACTAAATAACAAGCAGCAGTGTAATGAAGTCCTCCATGACTGCTGCGAAMAGAAGTGATTGACAGCAGATGAATAGAAGTGATAACAAGTGCAGCTACAGCATCTGTGGCACTGGTGCTGTGAAAGCTCATCACCAGCAGAGGAACCTGTGTTGGAGCACACAGCAGTAAGGGACATTTCAAAGTGCTTGTACAGGCTTTTTTTATTTTCTTTAACAATGTCAGGATTAAGCCCTGAAGTCTAAATGAAGAACTTGTCTWCCACCTCTTACAACTGAACAACAGGAGCTGTGTTTTTCTCTGAGCCTGGATCCTCTAAATGAGTGAGCAGAGATAGTGAGAACAATCACATCTGAGGAGTTGATTGGAGTCATGGATGAGGAATCCACACAAGAACCTCTCACAGTTCTTTTGGACAGAACCTCTCACAGTTCTTTTGGACTCACCTTGTTTGTGCAAAAATATTATTTTATACATTTTAAGTGAGTTACCTTTGATATTTCACACAAAAAGATAAAATTTAATATTTTGTTCTTTGCTATATTATATGCACTGAGTGGAAATGTCACTGGTTTAAATCTGTGTTCATTGTTTTTATGAATGAATATTACAAAAGATCAGTGTTAGGGGGTCTAATAAAAATAAATGTCTAAGAACTGTGAGGAAATTGTGTGAATGTGTGTGTGCATGGGTGAATGTCTGTAGTGTGAAGCACTGTAAGTGCCCTGGATGGATAGAAAGGTGCTATATAAGTACAGTCCATTTACCATTTAGAGTCCATAAATTAAATTAAACAAAAGAACTGAAAAAAGCAAAAATCCCAGGTAAGGAAAAACTTCGAATAAAGGAGTTAAAAAGTATTTACAATGTAGAATGTTAAGTACAGTATATCACATGAAACAGACAACATAATTCTAAAATGACTCACCTCATCCAATTTGGTTTGTTGACAGGGAAAAGAGAACGTGAAGCCCAGTGGAAGCTTTTTATCCTTTATACCCATCTTTTCCAGAAAATTAGCCAGACAGTCAGCTACGTGGTCAAACAGCTACAAGAGGGAAAAGGTCGGTTTCAATAAGGGTGCTGAACAGTTGCTGTGTAGATGCTGAAATGATCAAAGTCAAAACTGAAGCTTTTGAATTAAACTTTAAGTACTTCTGGAGTTGTTTCATGCATGAAGCAAATGTTTCAACGGTGCATAGGAGGACAAGCCAAATTAATTATTGAGGATTATTGCCAAACTATATATGCTATTTCAGATAAAAACTTTCTTCCCAAAGAAATAAACAAACACAAACAGTAATTTGTTGGTGTCCAGCAAAGAGAAGTGAACAAATAGCTTCAGCACACCAAAAGCATATATGTTTAACACAAACACACAATTTATTTGCACAAATTAATATGAATTAATATTAATGTTAAAATTGTGCAAATTGTATTATGGATTTCATTAATAATTCATACACTTTGTACCTTCAATTTGCATTAATAAAGTTGTGGTACTTATATGACAATTATACCCTATTTAAACATTCCATGACTATTTTATTATAAAACATGTTATTATATTCAAATGTATGCACGTTGTGATTACATGAGATGAGACATTATCCTGTATTTAAAGCCTATTAAACAAACTTTAGGAATAAGTAAGGCCAGTAATAATGGGTTTAATTTTCTGTTATTACTATAAGTTTGTTATTGCTGCTGGGTTATATTAATCATTGAGTGCACAGGAGCTTTAGAAYAAGACCACCAACACTACTTTGTCACAATAAGGCCCAGAGGCTGAACCGCTCTGGAGCAGGTTATGAGTTCCACCTGCGTTAACATGGAGATGTGACAGGACTGGAAGAGGGCCTCCTTAATGGTCCCAAAAACTCTGATAGCTGGCAAAGTGGTAAATCTCACTCTGTGGTACAGCCCTCTGGTGTCACAATAACAACAGAGCTAAAGTTTCTCTCTGTTTGATACAATTGCAAAGAAACTAGATTACATCGAACAAGTCTACCTTGCAGGCATTTCCACTTCCACTTGCCTTCTCAATTGTGTCCATGTAATAAGAATACATTAAAAAAGAAGGGAACTAACAGCTGTATCTTCTCAAGAGCAATGGTGTAAATAAAGTTTTGTCTTTAAAAAAATTTGCTAAAGGCCACAAAACTGTTGTATTGTAGAGCCAGATAAAGACTAAGGGTGTATTCAGACCAGGAAAGTCCTTTGGTCCGCTTGTTTGGTCCGAACCAAAAGTGGACTTTTTTTTTTTTTCGTTTGGCGTGGTTTGCATTCGCATTGTGCTTTTTTGCAAATGAACTATAACTTGTAAACAAAGCCATGAGGC